CATGAGACAGGGAATTTACCCTTGACGATGCGAAAAGGAGGACCCAATTCCTAACCAATGATCACTGCAAAAATTAATCTTTGAACGGTTACGCAAACTGAAAACGCTAAGAAAATCGCGGTCGCTGTGTGAGATTTAGAAACCCTAACCTTGACGGCAATTGAAAAATCCAGCCAATCGGGTCCGTTTCCGGCGGAATCAAAGCTTGTAGGTTGCTTCAAAAGAAAACAAACAGAAAAATTTTAGTCGAGATCACTCCAAAAAGGAAAAAAATTGAACAATTACAATACTTGGAAACCCAATCGCGATCGAAGGTTACTTACAACAAGGAACTTAGCAAACAAATTCACGATTTACAGATTAAGGAGGCACTTACTAATCTCCGACTGTAAATGGATTTTCCCCAATTGCAAATCTCCGAAGAGTCGATCGAGAGACTCCTACGAAAGAAAAAAAGAAAAACGGAAGAGAGACGATTAAACTTTTGTGAAGAACTGAGGAAATAAAATGGGAGAGAATGTTTGTATCTATCTCTTGCGTTTTGACAACACGCGTTTTCATAACGGTTATATTTTTAAAAATGTGTCGGTTTATTTGTAACCAACTAAACCGGTCTTGTATTTTCATAAAACCACTTAATCCGAAACCGGTTTCAGTGAGGTCGTTTTTTCTCACTGAAAACGACACGTAGTCTATATTAAAAAAAAAAAACGGAACATGTTTTCTAGCGAAGAATAAAAACAGTCTAATCCAAAATCGGGATAAGAATAGTCTAAAACCTCACTCTTGAACTCTTCCCTTGAAGTTGAACCACCCAGACCAGAGAGAGAGTGGTGGGAGAAACAAGGCTCTTCTTATCTTCTTCTTCGTCTTCTTCTTCATGCTCCAATGTCGAGAGGACCAGGTCGTTTGCTGCAGAACGTGACACAGTTCGCCGATACTCAATTCAAACAATTCTCCACTCGTTATGGAGACCAAGTCATAAACATTCTCGATTTCCCAATCAAACTCGTCTTGTCTCCTTTCACTCTCGCCTTCGACATCGCTGGCTCTGCACCTCGCGGCTTTGGCATCCCCGAATTCATCTCCAAAATATCTTATCTCTCCGTTTTCGTAAGCTGTTCTTCCCTCTCATGAATCTATGGACTCGGTTAATTCACTTTCCTACAGGCTGGAACAATTGTATTGGTTTTGCTGAGTTTCCACCATTAGAATTTCGTTATCTCGAATTAAAGTTTTGATTTTTAATTCGATTGAGCTCAACTTTCCTTCTGGGTTTCGTCAAAATTCGAACTTTCAATCAAAAACTTTGTTAAATGAGGATCATTTTTAGGAATTCTGTTTCTGGCAAATGTCTGTTTGATTTACTTGGTTGGTTTTTGGAAAAAGATTTCAACTTTCTTAAGTTTATCCATTGCAGGCAGTTGCTACGCTTGGAACTTATGACATTGCATTCGATATGGGAAAGAAAGTCATATGCCAAAGGTAAGCTTTGTCAAGATATCTTGTTAACTGTCTAAAGTCATCCTTTGAAATGAACGCACTTTTCTCTGTTGGTTAGGGATTGCAAGACTTGTAACGGATGGCAGGCGTTACGGTGCACCATGTGCAAAGGAACAGGGAGTGTTCATTATCAAATCAAAGATTACAACTTGAGAAGGTGAGATTGCTCTCTTGTGATGATTAAGCTATCTTAAGCTACCCTTTTTATGCTTACAATTCTGTTTGGCAATGCTTAAGCTATCCTTGTGATGATTCTCAACATACATGAAAGTTATTTTAAAGATTTCTCTTTTTCTGTCTTTTCTTGTAGTGGAGAGAAACCAACAGCAGATTGTCTCGCAGATGCCATAGTTGACAATCGAGCTGAGTTAGTGCATCTTCCGGCCTCCATTGACATTAGTGCACCGTTGCCGTCAAAAGACTGCCCAACTTGTGATGGAACAGTAAGCTTTGTTTTTTTCCCACTGCTAATGCACTAAGCGACTTAATGTATTTACGGATTTAGCTTATATCTCTCAAACTGTCAGTCCGATTTCATGAGACCACATTTACATCAATGTATGCCAAATTTTGTGGAACGTCTATTGAAATTGCAGGGTGTGATGAGCTGTACTGAGTGCAAGAACAAGCTGCAAGTGAGGATATCGGCTGATGATGTATGTTTTGCGTCTGCTATTACTTCTTCTCAGCTTAGTAGGTGTATATTTACTACTTAGTAGGTTTTAAATGACCAAAGAGAGGTAGCTTGTTCTTGCATGGAACTATCACTTGTTAAGTACCTAAACATTCATTTTGCAGATCATGGAACCTCCATGGAAAGCATACAATGTGCTGAAGAGGATGGATTACCCCTACGAGGTGAGCATCGCAAAGTCTATTTAAAACCCAATAGCTTTGTTTACAGTGTCTTTTAGTTTTCTCATGAGTCATATTTTCTCTTTCAGCACATTGTTCACAGCATGAAAGATCCCAGCATCGCAAATTTCTGGTTGATCACTTTGCCTCAGATTATGGGTGGATTCGAGCATGATGAAGATGTCAAGAAGAAAATATGGTGGCAATACGAGGTTAGAAAGCTATCTCTTTCTACGAGATTTCCTTCAGCATGACTGACTTATTCACCAGTCATCTACTTTAGAATCTACTGTCCTTTGATGGTTATTGTCTTCTAGAGGCTTAATCCAAACATACCGTAAAAGCTTTAGTCTACTCGTAGCTAATAGTTGAATCTTCTTAATTATCATTTGGGATGGTGTTGGTATGCTACTGATGTGTGTTAGGCCTATTGAGTTTCTTTCTGCGTAACAGTAAACAAAAAGGGCGGTTATTGAATTTGTTGAATGATTCTTTAAGCTTCAATGGTAGTTAAGTATTTATGCCTTCTGCGTTCAGGAATCTATGCGATACGATCAGCTCCGGGACTTGGTGGCAAAACGAAATCCTGGCTGGGAATATTTGCAGGATGTAAGATCGCCTCTTTGTGGTTTTCAAACTAGTTTATCTGAAGAAGTTTAAGCAAATCACCATTTAGTTCTTGTGGATTTACAGGCCTTAATCTCCATTGATCCTGTTCGTGCTCGGGAAGACCCTGTCATAGTGAAGAATGTTCCGTTTTACAAGGCTAAGAAAGCACTGGAGGCTGAAGTCACAAAGCTCAATCCACCGCCTCGTCCTCAGAATTGGGGTGTAAGCTTCTTTCTTTCTTCTTTTTGGTGTTAGCATCACAGTTTTTGTTTGTTCGTGTTCCTGAGACCAAGGGCATAGCTTACAACTAACTGCTGAACATGTGCAGGATCTGAATCTCCCATTGAATACTTCGTCTTGGAGTGAAGAGGATCTCAAGAACCCTGCAAAACTGTACGAGAAGACGGTTCTTCTCAATGCTCAAAGAGAAATCGCAGACAAAATCTTGGATGCACAATGGGAAGCTAAGTGGCGTCAAGAAAAGGTGAATCAAAAGGAACATTTATTGACACAGTTTGGTAATCGTATCACATCCATGATTCCAAATGCATATTGTTTTATCCTCTGTTACGATTTGTAGGTGGAGGAGATGTTGGAGGAGAAAGTGAGACCTTATATCCAAGACTCAAGCATGTGTGTTCTTCCCCAACCCATCTTGTTAAAGTCTCACAAGAAAGACCAAAAGGTAGCGATTGAATAAGGTTCCAAACTTTCTGTGATGACTTATGAATCCATAGGACCATTGCTCTCCATTCAACGTATCTGTTATATAATCCTTATTTGCATCCATAAACCTAACATTCTTGTTACTGATTTTGATCTTTCTTCATTTTTGATTAACTTGTAATTTCTCTGTTTTTGACGCAGGGAAACCGGCAAAGGAAGTGGTGGTTCTTTTAAACTTCTCAAACCAACACTTAAGTCATTTTTCCTCACTCATAATAAGTCTACATTTTTCTATTGTATGAATACGAAAATTAATTACTCAACAGTCCAAAACCTGAAAACCAAAACAATGAGCAAATTTTCTCACTTCTTGTTACTTAAAAAGGTCTTCAAATTTGGACTATGTCACTGATCTGCAAAATGATAAATGATAAGATGGAAAAGAGTTCTACAAAGCTTTTGTGGGAGACTCCTTTTGTTGATATGAGGCTATATTCATTTTTTCCCCTTTTTCTTTTGCTAAAAACTATATTGAGTTTTCTTAAGTAAATTTATCATTGGCTATAAACTCTAACAAGAAGGCATAAACATATTCAAAATCACTGACCTAAAATCACTATCAAAACAAATAAATCTTATCATTCCCTTCTTCGACCTTGATTCCGCGATTACGTAAATCTTTTACCTGCAACACATACGAAAGAGTTGCGTAAATATTATCATATATTTACCAGCATACCAATTACCTGAGACACTATCAACAACAAGCAATAAACAACAAATAACGAACAACATCAACAATTTTACTCTGTGTTGAAGCCAAAGTGGTGTTAGTCGACACAAAACTTATGGTGTCAACCGACACACACCTTCTGTCGCTCGACACTGACTCAAACCCAAAAACCCCAACGAAAACAACAAAAAACATATAATCATTGGGTTTCAACACCCAAATACAGCCATAAACTCAAGCAATCATATGAACAACTCAAGAACACAAACCACAATTGCAAATCTAGTGAAACACGAGCCTATGGTCATGCACTCACTACTAAAAATGGATTGAAAGCGGAAAGGGAGAAGAAACAGTGAAGAACAGCAACAAAACACCACAAATTCGCTCAGGACACCTCTGAATCACCACAAAATTGCCTCCCTTCTCTTCTTCAGTTCACAAAACGACAAAACAGCTCAAGAGCCCGACGGCTGACTCTTTTATTCAGCGAAATAGGGTTTCCAGCCCTAAACCGGACCAACCCGAACTCAAATCGAACCACCAATTGATTTTAACCAATGGTGTCGACCGACATCCCTCCTTTGGTGTCGTTCGACACCAAATTCTCAACTCGAGAATTGTGCTACGGATGTTACAACTCTCCCTCACTAAACTGGATCCGTCCTCGAATTCCAACACAAAACGTCACACAAGGACCAAAACCCGACCTTGCAAGGCCAACACTGGAGATCCTCACATGATCCCCGAGACATACCTCAAATCCTATGTTATAAGCACGTTCCAATACATTTTTACTCCTAACTCATCACCCAAAACCACTTGTACTGAGGCCCACTTACACCTAGATGAACCTGAAACCGCTTATACTGAGCCCACTTGCACCCATGTAAGCTACTCAAACCGAGGCCTACTTGCACCCAGTAGAGTTTGTCAGAGAACCACTGTCTCCAAAAACCATGATGAGTTATTCAGGACCGCAGCCCTTAGAGTAAAAATTCTGGAAAACGTCTATGACAATAAGATTAGACCGTCTCACGGTCAAACACTAGTAACATCCGAAACCATTTTCAACAACACAGACAAAAATGAGGAAAAATTGCATCTCATTAAACTCCAAAAATGTATATCGTTACAACCCAAACAAAAATACAAATACATAGCTCAAAAGCTAATCAACAGGAACTACAACAATGAAAGAAGCTCACTCCACGACCTGCTTGTCGAACCACTTCCTGAACTTCAATTTCATCTTTGCCTCGGGCTCCCAAGTCTCCTACTGCGAACCACTGCAATCCCACAAAACTCTCAGCAACTGAATCATCTTGTTCCGCAGAACCTTATCTCTCCTCTCAAGAATCCTCACAGGCCCAGAGCAGGAGCACCACCCCACATGGAGCTGCCCCCATCCCCACACTCGCACTAGCATCCAAACTGGCCTCACCCGCCAAGGATACTGTATGGGTCACCGACACAATCGCCACACTGGGCGTTGCACTCTCTCCCGAATCTGCCGGAAGTCCATGACGCCCACCTCGGCCTGCTCGGCCTCCAGCTCTACCACCATCTCTGCCACTATGGTCAACTCTGCCGCCACGGCCTCTAGCACCATGACTTCTCGCACCACGACCTCTAGCTACTTCGTCCATCTCACTGCAAGAAGCAGTTGATAAGCAAGCTAGAATACACAAAACAACAGAAGCATAAACACAAACTCACCACGAAATCTCCTAAAGCTCGAAAAGAATGATACTAAAACTATCAATTCTAACAGTTATAAAACCGTCTAGATTCTGATACCAAAATGAAACAACCAAGCTTTTTATTATTATTAAATAAGCTAAACAATACTCAGCGAAAGTCTTTAAAAAAAATTCAATAAATAATCAATAATTCAAATCAATTCAACATATAATTCAATAAATAATAAATAAATACTAGTAATCTAAACATCATGTTCTAGCAACTTAAACAATGTAAACAATAAAACGCTATCATCCTTTTCTTCGGCTTGATTCCGCAATCATATAATTCTTTTACTTGCATCACAATACGAAAGATATGCGTAAATATTATCATAAATACATAGTGACACGATCATCCCTACAGACCAATTACGCAATACACGTATTCGACAAACAAATAACAAATACACATCAAATAAAGGGCAAAACAGACAATTTACTCTTGTATCGAGCGACACAACCCTTGTGTCAGTTGACACAACTCTTTTGTCAGTCGACACACCCTTGCGTCGGTCGACGCAGACTCGCAGACAGAAACCCAAATCGACGAAACAGTACAGAAAACACGAAATCAAGTGCTTCAACACCCAGAAACGATCATAAACTCAATCAATCACACGAACAGCTCAAGAACAGATCACACAATCACAAATCTAGTGAATTACGAGCCTATGGTCACGCACTCACCTCTAAAACGGATTTGAAAGAGGAAAAAGAGATGAAGCAACAAAGAACAGCTACAATCTGACCTAAAAACACCGAAATCTCTCCAAAATCGCCTTTTCTTTTCTCTGCCAAAGCTCCCCTCGAAAACTGAGCTCAAAACGCTGATGCAGCTCTTTTAAATCGAGTCTAGGGCTTTTCTGTCCAAAACCAGTTAAATTCGAACCACTTAAATCGAACCGGGTCGATTTTGCAATTGATGCGTCCACCGACACACATTCTTGTGTTGCTAAGCAACTTCCAAAAATTCACAAAATGGGCTACGGATGTTATAATGAAGACTCAAGAAAATATTGAAGAGGAAAATTGGAAGAAAAATAAAAAATATAGGATCATTGGAAAAAAATAAAAGGAAGAAGAAAAAGTTGAAGAAGAAAACCATAAGTGGGAAATATTTTTTACATTCCTAAATATTATTTAAATTTTTAATTAATTTATTTATTTAAAAAAGATTGTACCCGCACAAAGTGCGAAATAATCACCTAGTCTACCACTTATATATGAAGCATGTTGGCTTGGAACTCTTACTAGTATTTTCATTTTATGAATTTTTTTGTAGGTTATCTGGACTCTGGTTTAGTTTTATTTTTTCTTAATTAAAGTCTAACAAATTAAGTTCGTTAGTGTTCATAGAAATAACTTAATAATCGGGTGACTGTGGATCGAAAGTTTCCTTTTAAATTATTCTCCATATACCCAGTTAAATATTGAGGAAAAGAAAATTATACATTTACTGATGTCAAAAATAAAAAGATGTAAGAAAAAGAAGCAAGTTATACATTAATTCAACAAAAAAAATAAAAAGCAAGTTATAAAAATGTAAACGAAAAAGCAAGTCATATATTAATTCACCAAAAAAATAAAAAGCAAGTCATACAAAAATGTTAAAAGTCATGATTATATATGCTTGTCCATCAAGGGACAGAAAATAAGAAAGATTTTATCTTTGGAAATGGAACAANTGGAGAAACAAGGCTCTTCTTATCTTCTTCTTCGTCTTCTTCTTCATGCTCCAATGTCGAGAGGACCAGGTCGTTTGCTGCAGAACGTGACACAGTTCGCCGATACTCAATTCAAACAATTCTCCACTCGTTATGGAGACCAAGTCATAAACATTCTCGATTTCCCAATCAAACTCGTCTTGTCTCCTTTCACTCTCGCCTTCGACATCGCTGGCTCTGCACCTCGCGGCTTTGGCATCCCCGAATTCATCTCCAAAATATCTTATCTCTCCGTTTTCGTAAGCTGTTCTTCCCTCTCATGAATCTATGGACTCGGTTAATTCACTTTCCTACAGGCTGGAACAATTGTATTGGTTTTGCTGAGTTTCCACCATTAGAATTTCGTTATCTCGAATTAAAGTTTTGATTTTTAATTCGATTGAGCTCAACTTTCCTTCTGGGTTTCGTCAAAATTCGAACTTTCAATCAAAAACTTTGTTAAATGAGGATCATTTTTAGGAATTCTGTTTCTGGCAAATGTCTGTTTGATTTACTTGGTTGGTTTTTGGAAAAAGATTTCAACTTTCTTAAGTTTATCCATTGCAGGCAGTTGCTACGCTTGGAACTTATGACATTGCATTCGATATGGGAAAGAAAGTCATATGCCAAAGGTAAGCTTTGTCAAGATATCTTGTTAACTGTCTAAAGTCATCCTTTGAAATGAACGCACTTTTCTCTGTTGGTTAGGGATTGCAAGACTTGTAACGGATGGCAGGCGTTACGGTGCACCATGTGCAAAGGAACAGGGAGTGTTCATTATCAAATCAAAGATTACAACTTGAGAAGGTGAGATTGCTCTCTTGTGATGATTAAGCTATCTTAAGCTACCCTTTTTATGCTTACAATTCTGTTTGGCAATGCTTAAGCTATCCTTGTGATGATTCTCAACATACATGAAAGTTATTTTAAAGATTTCTCTTTTTCTGTCTTTTCTTGTAGTGGAGAGAAACCAACAGCAGATTGTCTCGCAGATGCCATAGTTGACAATCGAGCTGAGTTAGTGCATCTTCCGGCCTCCATTGACATTAGTGCACCGTTGCCGTCAAAAGACTGCCCAACTTGTGATGGAACAGTAAGCTTTGTTTTTTTCCCACTGCTAATGCACTAAGCGACTTAATGTATTTACGGATTTAGCTTATATCTCTCAAACTGTCAGTCCGATTTCATGAGACCACATTTACATCAATGTATGCCAAATTTTGTGGAACGTCTATTGAAATTGCAGGGTGTGATGAGCTGTACTGAGTGCAAGAACAAGCTGCAAGTGAGGATATCGGCTGATGATGTATGTTTTGCGTCTGCTATTACTTCTTCTCAGCTTAGTAGGTGTATATTTACTACTTAGTAGGTTTTAAATGACCAAAGAGAGGTAGCTTGTTCTTGCATGGAACTATCACTTGTTAAGTACCTAAACATTCATTTTGCAGATCATGGAACCTCCATGGAAAGCATACAATGTGCTGAAGAGGATGGATTACCCCTACGAGGTGAGCATCGCAAAGTCTATTTAAAACCCAATAGCTTTGTTTACAGTGTCTTTTAGTTTTCTCATGAGTCATATTTTCTCTTTCAGCACATTGTTCACAGCATGAAAGATCCCAGCATCGCAAATTTCTGGTTGATCACTTTGCCTCAGATTATGGGTGGATTCGAGCATGATGAAGATGTCAAGAAGAAAATATGGTGGCAATACGAGGTTAGAAAGCTATCTCTTTCTACGAGATTTCCTTCAGCATGACTGACTTATTCACCAGTCATCTACTTTAGAATCTACTGTCCTTTGATGGTTATTGTCTTCTAGAGGCTTAATCCAAACATACCGTAAAAGCTTTAGTCTACTCGTAGCTAATAGTTGAATCTTCTTAATTATCATTTGGGATGGTGTTGGTATGCTACTGATGTGTGTTAGGCCTATTGAGTTTCTTTCTGCGTAACAGTAAACAAAAAGGGCGGTTATTGAATTTGTTGAATGATTCTTTAAGCTTCAATGGTAGTTAAGTATTTATGCCTTCTGCGTTCAGGAATCTATGCGATACGATCAGCTCCGGGACTTGGTGGCAAAACGAAATCCTGGCTGGGAATATTTGCAGGATGTAAGATCGCCTCTTTGTGGTTTTCAAACTAGTTTATCTGAAGAAGTTTAAGCAAATCACCATTTAGTTCTTGTGGATTTACAGGCCTTAATCTCCATTGATCCTGTTCGTGCTCGGGAAGACCCTGTCATAGTGAAGAATGTTCCGTTTTACAAGGCTAAGAAAGCACTGGAGGCTGAAGTCACAAAGCTCAATCCACCGCCTCGTCCTCAGAATTGGGGTGTAAGCTTCTTTCTTTCTTCTTTTTGGTGTTAGCATCACAGTTTTTGTTTGTTCGTGTTCCTGAGACCAAGGGCATAGCTTACAACTAACTGCTGAACATGTGCAGGATCTGAATCTCCCATTGAATACTTCGTCTTGGAGTGAAGAGGATCTCAAGAACCCTGCAAAACTGTACGAGAAGACGGTTCTTCTCAATGCTCAAAGAGAAATCGCAGACAAAATCTTGGATGCACAATGGGAAGCTAAGTGGCGTCAAGAAAAGGTGAATCAAAAGGAACATTTATTGACACAGTTTGGTAATCGTATCACATCCATGATTCCAAATGCATATTGTTTTATCCTCTGTTACGATTTGTAGGTGGAGGAGATGTTGGAGGAGAAAGTGAGACCTTATATCCAAGACTCAAGCATGTGTGTTCTTCCCCAACCCATCTTGTTAAAGTCTCACAAGAAAGACCAAAAGGTAGCGATTGAATAAGGTTCCAAACTTTCTGTGATGACTTATGAATCCATAGGACCATTGCTCTCCATTCAACGTATCTGTTATATAATCCTTATTTGCATCCATAAACCTAACATTCTTGTTACTGATTTTGATCTTTCTTCATTTTTGATTAACTTGTAATTTCTCTGTTTTTGACGCAGGGAAACCGGCAAAGGAAGTGGTGGTTCTTTTAAACTTCTCAAACCAACACTTAAGTCATTTTTCCTCACTCATAATAAGTCTACATTTTTCTATTGTATGAATACGAAAATTAATTACTCAACAGTCCAAAACCTGAAAACCAAAACAATGAGCAAATTTTCTCACTTCTTGTTACTTAAAAAGGTCTTCAAATTTGGACTATGTCACTGATCTGCAAAATGATAAATGATAAGATGGAAAAGAGTTCTACAAAGCTTTTGTGGGAGACTCCTTTTGTTGATATGAGGCTATATTCATTTTTTCCCCTTTTTCTTTTGCTAAAAACTATATTGAGTTTTCTTAAGTAAATTTATCATTGGCTATAAACTCTAACAAGAAGGCATAAACATATTCAAAATCACTGACCTAAAATCACTATCAAAACAAATAAATCTTATCATTCCCTTCTTCGACCTTGATTCCGCGATTACGTAAATCTTTTACCTGCAACACATACGAAAGAGTTGCGTAAATATTATCATATATTTACCAGCATACCAATTACCTGAGACACTATCAACAACAAGCAATAAACAACAAATAACGAACAACATCAACAATTTTACTCTGTGTTGAAGCCAAAGTGGTGTTAGTCGACACAAAACTTATGGTGTCAACCGACACACACCTTCTGTCGCTCGACACTGACTCAAACCCAAAAACCCCAACGAAAACAACAAAAAACATATAATCATTGGGTTTCAACACCCAAATACAGCCATAAACTCAAGCAATCATATGAACAACTCAAGAACACAAACCACAATTGCAAATCTAGTGAAACACGAGCCTATGGTCATGCACTCACTACTAAAAATGGATTGAAAGCGGAAAGGGAGAAGAAACAGTGAAGAACAGCAACAAAACACCACAAATTCGCTCAGGACACCTCTGAATCACCACAAAATTGCCTCCCTTCTCTTCTTCAGTTCACAAAACGACAAAACAGCTCAAGAGCCCGACGGCTGACTCTTTTATTCAGCGAAATAGGGTTTCCAGCCCTAAACCGGACCAACCCGAACTCAAATCGAACCACCAATTGATTTTAACCAATGGTGTCGACCGACATCCCTCCTTTGGTGTCGTTCGACACCAAATTCTCAACTCGAGAATTGTGCTACGGATGTTACAACTCTCCCTCACTAAACTGGATCCGTCCTCGAATTCCAACACAAAACGTCACACAAGGACCAAAACCCGACCTTGCAAGGCCAACACTGGAGATCCTCACATGATCCCCGAGACATACCTCAAATCCTATGTTATAAGCACGTTCCAATACATTTTTACTCCTAACTCATCACCCAAAACCACTTGTACTGAGGCCCACTTACACCTAGATGAACCTGAAACCGCTTATACTGAGCCCACTTGCACCCATGTAAGCTACTCAAACCGAGGCCTACTTGCACCCAGTAGAGTTTGTCAGAGAACCACTGTCTCCAAAAACCATGATGAGTTATTCAGGACCGCAGCCCTTAGAGTAAAAATTCTGGAAAACGTCTATGACAATAAGATTAGACCGTCTCACGGTCAAACACTAGTAACATCCGAAACCATTTTCAACAACACAGACAAAAATGAGGAAAAATTGCATCTCATTAAACTCCAAAAATGTATATCGTTACAACCCAAACAAAAATACAAATACATAGCTCAAAAGCTAATCAACAGGAACTACAACAATGAAAGAAGCTCACTCCACGACCTGCTTGTCGAACCACTTCCTGAACTTCAATTTCATCTTTGCCTCGGGCTCCCAAGTCTCCTACTGCGAACCACTGCAATCCCACAAAACTCTCAGCAACTGAATCATCTTGTTCCGCAGAACCTTATCTCTCCTCTCAAGAATCCTCACAGGCCCAGAGCAGGAGCACCACCCCACATGGAGCTGCCCCCATCCCCACACTCGCACTAGCATCCAAACTGGCCTCACCCGCCAAGGATACTGTATGGGTCACCGACACAATCGCCACACTGGGCGTTGCACTCTCTCCCGAATCTGCCGGAAGTCCATGACGCCCACCTCGGCCTGCTCGGCCTCCAGCTCTACCACCATCTCTGCCACTATGGTCAACTCTGCCGCCACGGCCTCTAGCACCATGACTTCTCGCACCACGACCTCTAGCTACTTCGTCCATCTCACTGCAAGAAGCAGTTGATAAGCAAGCTAGAATACACAAAACAACAGAAGCATAAACACAAACTCACCACGAAATCTCCTAAAGCTCGAAAAGAATGATACTAAAACTATCAATTCTAACAGTTATAAAACCGTCTAGATTCTGATACCAAAATGAAACAACCAAGCTTTTTATTATTATTAAATAAGCTAAACAATACTCAGCGAAAGTCTTTAAAAAAAATTCAATAAATAATCAATAATTCAAATCAATTCAACATATAATTCAATAAATAATAAATAAATACTAGTAATCTAAACATCATGTTCTAGCAACTTAAACAATGTAAACAATAAAACGCTATCATCCTTTTCTTCGGCTTGATTCCGCAATCATATAATTCTTTTACTTGCATCACAATACGAAAGATATGCGTAAATATTATCATAAATACATAGTGACACGATCATCCCTACAGACCAATTACGCAATACACGTATTCGACAAACAAATAACAAATACACATCAAATAAAGGGCAAAACAGACAATTTACTCTTGTATCGAGCGACACAACCCTTGTGTCAGTTGACACAACTCTTTTGTCAGTCGACACACCCTTGCGTCGGTCGACGCAGACTCGCAGACAGAAACCCAAATCGACGAAACAGTACAGAAAACACGAAATCAAGTGCTTCAACACCCAGAAACGATCATAAACTCAATCAATCACACGAACAGCTCAAGAACAGATCACACAATCACAAATCTAGTGAATTACGAGCCTATGGTCACGCACTCACCTCTAAAACGGATTTGAAAGAGGAAAAAGAGATGAAGCAACAAAGAACAGCTACAATCTGACCTAAAAACACCGAAATCTCTCCAAAATCGCCTTTTCTTTTCTCTGCCAAAGCTCCCCTCGAAAACTGAGCTCAAAACGCTGATGCAGCTCTTTTAAATCGAGTCTAGGGCTTTTCTGTCCAAAACCAGTTAAATTCGAACCACTTAAATCGAACCGGGTCGATTTTGCAATTGATGCGTCCACCGACACACATTCTTGTGTTGCTAAGCAACTTCCAAAAATTCACAAAATGGGCTACGGATGTTATAATGAAGACTCAAGAAAATATTGAAGAGGAAAATTGGAAGAAAAATAAAAAATATAGGATCATTGGAAAAAAATAAAAGGAAGAAGAAAAAGTTGAAGAAGAAAACCATAAGTGGGAAATATTTTTTACATTCCTAAATATTATTTAAATTTTTAATTAATTTATTTATTTAAAAAAGATTGTACCCGCACAAAGTGCGAAATAATCACCTAGTCTACCACTTATATATGAAGCATGTTGGCTTGGAACTCTTACTAGTATTTTCATTTTATGAATTTTTTTGTAGGTTATCTGGACTCTGGTTTAGTTTTATTTTTTCTTAATTAAAGTCTAACAAATTAAGTTCGTTAGTGTTCATAGAAATAACTTAATAATCGGGTGACTGTGGATCGAAAGTTTCCTTTTAAATTATTCTCCATATACCCAGTTAAATATTGAGGAAAAGAAAATTATACATTTACTGATGTCAAAAATAAAAAGATGTAAGAAAAAGAAGCAAGTTATACATTAATTCAACAAAAAAAATAAAAAGCAAGTTATAAAAATGTAAACGAAAAAGCAAGTCATATATTAATTCACCAAAAAAATAAAAAGCAAGTCATACAAAAATGTTAAAAGTCATGATTATATATGCTTGTCCATCAAGGGACAGAAAATAAGAAAGATTTTATCTTTGGAAATGGAAACAAATCAATATTTTATAGATAGTTTCTTTTATTTTTCCAAATTACGTTATGGACAGTTTTTACTGTAATATGTATAACAAAATTTACTCTTTAAGTCGTAATTCTTAAACCCTCTGGTTCTAGCTAAACCCTACTCTCAAGTTTTAAGTATCAACTTCCTCAAGATGTTGTTCCGCTATGTCCGTACCGTGTCACATTTCTGCAGCAACTCGAGCTCTCCTGTTCCTCGACTCCTCCTTCTTCGTTACAATATTGCCCCAAAGGTCGCAGTTTTGGACTGTGTTTCTTCTAATCGCTGTTTCTCTTCTGACACATCATCAACCGTACCCTCGGAGGCTGCAGCGGAGAATAATAGTTTAAAGTCGGTGGTAAAGAACTTTTCGTTCTCTAGCATCTTTCAACTTTGGAAGAATAAGCCTATCCAGCAAGAGAAAGAGAAAGAAGAGTCTGTTGTGGAAGAAGTGAAAAACACAACTCCTCCTTCTGCTATTGATTTGGCTCTTACCTCGGTGGTTAAGGTCTTCACTGTCTCTAGCAAGCCTAGGCTTTTTCAACCTTGGCAGATTAGCATGCAGAGTGAATGTTCCGGCTCTGGTATTAATGCTTTTATATTGTATATAACAAGAACTCACATTATTTAATTAAAAATTAAATAGTTAATTAAAGATTAAAACACTTACTTCGATTTTCTTTTTGATGTAAATAGTATGCATGTGGTAAAAGACGTTTGTTTGGGTTACATACTTAAAGTGGAATTTTTGTAGGATTTGTAATCTCGGGGAAGAAGATTATTACGAATGCACATGTGGTGGCTAATCACACATCGGTTAAAGTAAGAAAGCATGGTTCACCTACAAAGTACAAAGCAAAAGTTCGAGCGATTGGTCATGAATGTGATTTGGCCATCTTGGAGATCGATAACGATGAGTTTTGGGAGGGAATGAGCTTCTTGGAGCTTGGAGACATACCCTTAATGCAAGACACTGTGGCCGTTGTTGGCTATCCTTGCGGTATATTTCTTTCTTGATATAGACGAGTTTATTATGATTTCCTTGATAGGTTTGTTAATATCATACTTTATAAGGAACTTTATATCTACATCAGAAACATGAACCATAGGGTAATTATGAAATGTATTTTAGCATTGCCTTAACTAATTACAGCGCATCATTCATAATATGTCTTATTATTGTACAATTACCACTGAAGTTGAGACGAATTAATTTTTTTTTATTTATTTACAACTTTTTATTTAATTAACTTATAGTTAAAGTCTTAGAGACAAAACCACTTTTGTACTTAATGTAGGAGAGTCTCCTTAGATGCCGTGCGCTCTAAGGAAGCAAAACTATATTTTTGTATAAAACATAAATTTGATGATATAACACAAACGTATAGTTCCTATCTACACAACCACACTTTAATTTACTAGATATATCCTTCATGATTTATTATGTGGATCTAAATTTCGTTACAAATTGTATTTGTCTTCATTTTGTTATCACAGCTAGATAATCTCGTTAGTTAGCTTGCAGAATAAAACATTATTATGCATTTTATATGTAGGAGTAATAGGTTTGAGAATTTCTTTTGATTTTTCTAAGTAGATTAAGTGTGTTTTTTTTTCTTCTTGTGTAGAAATTGGATATAAGTTATTATCTAGTACGACCTCTTTATGTTATTGTGTATCTAAAAAAAATAAAAAAATAAAAAATCACTTTGAAATATGAATGATCTTGAAAAAAAAAAAGGAATTGCTATCTTGGATTCCGTTTATAAATTATTGCTATATAGAAGAATATGTGATAAGTAGTGGCAACAATTGCTATTAGGGCACTTTGGACGGGATCATGCATATGACATGATATGGTCTCGGGCCTGTAGAGATTGATGTTCTTACTCGTCAAAATGGCTGGCTAATAAGTTTATGTTACATGCTCAAATGCAGGTGGTGACAGTATATCCGTTACAAAAGGTGTTGTGTCGAGAGTTGAACAGATACTGTATCCGTTAGAATACAGTCAACCCTGGAATACTGCAAGTAGCTCCACCGAGCTACTTGCAGTACAAATAGATGCAGCTATCAACCCTGGAAATAGTGGTGGTCCGGTAATCATGGGAAACAAAGTCATTGGTGTAGCATTTGAAAGTCTATTTTGGTCTGATAATATAGGATGAGTTTTAGTCTCATATTTCAAAATTGATATGAGAGTATATATATTTCTCTCGACATGATTAATTAATAAGCTTCACTAACTTTATTTTGTTCACTTGCAGCTACATAATTCCAACTCCAGTAATTAAACAACTTGAATGGTGTTAAAGAAAGTGGTCAACATGTTTGTTTTGTAAGATAAATTTATCTTCCTATTATATGGTCTTATATTAATCCGTTTTCCTATTAGGTTATTGCTATTCCATAACATATTTGGTATTTAATTAATTTAAATATAATGGAGTATTTCCTTTTTTATCTCTACTTTGATGGACAGTTGAGATTAACTTTAAGGAAACCCTAAAGAGGAATTAGGTCCTCTCTCCACCTATAAATATATGCCTTTAGTCCATTGTAAAGGCATCCTAAAAGAGACACATAAAGTTCATAGGCAAGGGGAGAGAAACCTAATCACCTATCTCAGATTTAATACCTCCATCTCTTCTCTACAATGGTTAGAAGTAAGTCATTTATAAACTCTTATGATTCTATTATGTGATTACTCTGGATGTTTGAAGGTCTTAGGGTTCATGTAAAAGTATGCTTACATGTGGTATCAGAGAATGGTTGTGAACATCTGTTTAATCCATTAAGAGTAATAGGATCATGAACTGAATTGCTTCTTAGGTTTTGCATATATGAATCTGTATTTGATAGCGTGCATAATCTGTGTGTCTGAAATTTTAGTTTTCGGAAATTATTATCACCTTGCAAATCGCGTACTTCTGTAAATTGAAAATTTATCTGAATTTTGATTCCGTGCAATTATCGGACTTTTGCGAATTAGGGTTTCTTGAAATCCTTCTGTGATATTTTATGTCTCTGTGAATTTAGGTTTTTCATAGATTATTTCCGCAATCACTGAATCGTGCATAATTCGTGCGAAATTAATGATGATAACTGGTTATGTGCATAAATCGTGTGAATTCGTTCTGCTTATAATCTCTGCATAATCGCTTGACCGATAAAATCTGAAAACGATTTTATATTATCATTCTGAAAATTATTCCGTGCATAATCCGTATTTGTTTCGAATTCAATAGTTCGAATTATGCATTCCGTACAAACATTGGTTTCATATAATGTGCATAAATTGGGTTTAGATATCACCACAGTGACTACATCCTATAAAGATTTGCAATTGAAAACCATTGTTTGAATGAAATGTTTGTATGTGTGTAGATTAAGATATCCACAGATAACTTAGTCTAAATAATTCACTGCATCACTTGCTTATGATTCATGAACATGTGACCTTAATGTAGTTATGGTGATTACCCACAGAATTCCATAATTTTGTCATATGTTTTTAATTTATCATGTGTCTGATTATATTTTGAAGCCTAATTACACTACTTGTTGTATCTCTAAGTAGAGCTTTTCCTGCTCACTTGTCATCCATGGTCTCTGCTGTTCCAATCCTCATAGGGACCAACTTCTCAGAATGGAAAGAGAAAGTTGAGTTCACATTAGGAGTACTTGATCTGGATTTGGCACTTCGTCAAGATGAGCCAAATCCAGTGACTGATGAAAGTACTGAGGAAGAATATCAACTCCATAAAGCATGGGAGAGAGCGAACAGACTGAACATAATGTTCTTAAGGATGACAATTGCTAGTAACATTAAATCTTCCCTTCCATCTGCAGATAAAGCTAAGGCTTATCTTGCAGCCATATAAGAACGGTTTAAGACTGCAGACAAATCCCTTGCTGGGAAACTTATGGCAGATCTTACAACCATGAAGCATGATGGCACAAGGTCTATGCATGAACATTGCATTGAAATGATTAACCTTGCGGCTAAGCTGAAGAATTTGGGACTTAGTGTGGATGATTCTTTTCTTGTCCAGTTTATCCTGAATTCTTTGCCTCCTCAGTATGGACCATTTCAGATCAATTACAACGCCATTGATGAAAAATGGACGTCTAATGAATTGACTAGTAAGTTGGTTCAAGAGGAGTCTAGGCTTGACCGTGAAGGCATTAGGATTGCCCATCATGTCCAAGAAGCTAAATCTAAAACCGGAAAAATGGCATTAAGTAAGCCATGAAAGAGCACTATCCAGAATTAAAGATTATAATCCACTTATTAAGAAGAAAAACGGCAAATAAAAGCTTTATAGTTTTTCATTAAAATTGCCTTAAAGATAAGATAATTCAAAAATTAAAGAGTAACATTATTAATTACATAAGGTATTTTGAATATAATCTTACTTATGTTTCTTCTTAATTTTAATGGATTTATAGTAGTGCTTCTACACATGTTTGATGCATAAATTTATCATCAATAACAATTCAAGGGAAACTAGTTCTATAAGGGAAAACGAAACAATCGAGTCAACTAAATTATTGACATTCATTGTCTCATTATTTGTTTCCTGGAAATTAGTTTCATTAAGAAAACTTGAATTGTTATTAACTTAAGGAGATAGTTGTTTTAATATTATTCTGAACCTGATTGAATTGGTTCTAGAATATTAATTGATGGCCTCTTATGTTAAACTTGGCTGATCAAGATTTTAAAATACATCTCATTGTGCATTCTAAAGGTGGACTTAACTGTCAACATGTAAAGGTGGACTTAACTGTCAACATGTGCTTAAGATAAGTATTCTTTGTGGTTTAAATGACTCGAACATGTTTCTAGCTAAAGAATTAATAATTGGAAAAGGATGGGTTCTTTTGAACCTAAATTTTACCAATAGTAAAGTGTGCCTAGATTGCATTAAGGGTAAGCAAACTAAACACAGTAAAAGAAGAACCACAAGAAGTATGTACCTTCTTGAAATCATACAAATATTTGCGGACCAATTTGATGTTCCAACATTGAAAGGAGAAAAGTAATTTGTCATCTTTATTGAAGGTTTTCACATTATTGTTATCTTTATCTATTGCATGAAAATTCTCAATATCTGAATGTTGTACAAACATTCATTACTGAAGATGAGAAGCAATTAGATAGAAAGCTGAAAATCATTAGGTAAAATAGAGGTGGTAAATTTTTATGGCAGAATGGTGTAACTCAAAGGTACAATCATACTTATGGAAATGGTTAGATCCATAATGATTCGGACTAACTTACATATCTCCTTGTGGATGAATGCATTATGTATTGCAATCAATATCTTGAGTAAAGTTTACAGCAAAACAGTTTCAAAGTCCTTTTGAACTGTGTAAAGGCTGGAAACCTAGTGTCTGACATCTTTAAATTTGATGCCCAGCTAAATCAAGAATATATAACCCACATGAAAAGGAATTAGATTTCAGAACAGTTAGTGGTTTCCTTTATGGTTAACCTTAGAAATCTAAAGGAAATATGTTTTATTGTTCATTCCATTGTATGAGAATAGTTAGAAACCTGAAATGCCAGATTCCATGAGAATGGCGAGATTAGTGGGAGTAATAAAGTACAAGATGTGATCATTCAGGAAATTAGGATAAATATCCCTTTACCCTTAACTCCGAATGTTGGGAATCCTCCTGTTGTTGAACCACTTAACAATGAGGAGAAACCAGTGAATGATCAATCACTCCATGATGAAAACATCGCCAATAATGAACTTGTAGTATAAGAGGAACCAGAATTAAGGAGATCAACTCGTGAGAGGAGATCTGCTATTTCTGATGACTACATCCCTTATCTCATAGAATCTGGGGGAGGGAGCATTAATGACCCGGTTTCTTATTCACGAGCCATAATAGATGTTAATTCTGATAAATGGATTGATGCCAGTAATGATGAAATAAACTTAATGGTTAAGAATGAAGTTTGGGACATTGTTCCATTGCCTGAAGGACACAAAGCAGTTGGGTGTAAGTGGATCTTTAAGAGCAAACTCGACTGTAAAGGCATTGTTGAACTATATAAAGCCAGACTTGTAGCCAAAATGTTTAATCAGAAAGAAGGCATTGATTATTGTGAGACCTTCTCACCTGTGTCAAGAAAATACTCTCTCAGAATTATCTTGGCATTAGTAGCTCAGAATGATCTGGAGTTACATCAAATGGATGTGAAAACCGTTTTTCTTAATGGAGACTTAGAAGAATAAGTCTATATGTGTCAACCTGAAGTCTTCATAATCGAAGATCAGGAAGACATGGTCTGCAAACTTAAGAAATCAATTTATGGACAGAAACAATCTTCGAGATAATGATATTAAAAGGTTTAATGAAACCTTATGAAATTTGGTTTCAGAAAGAAAACATTATATATCATTTTATGTATCTCAGGATCAGTGGGAGTATGTTCATATATAAGGTATTGTATGATGATGATTGGCTAGCAATGATTTTGATTTATTAATGAGACACTTAAAGGGGACAAGAAATCACATGCTGACTTATAGGAGATCAACACATCCACAGATGGTTGGTTTTTCAGACTCAGATTTTGGTGGATGCCATGACATTAGGCACTGCACTCTTGGCTATGTGTATCTCCTTGGCGGAGGTGCCATCTCATGAAAAAGCCAGAAGTCGCAGTTTATTTACACATCCACTATGGAAGCTGAGTATGTAGCATGTTATGAGGCTTCTACTTAAGAGACTTGGTTGAAGAATTTTGTGTCTGAGTTTAGGGGTGCAAAGCCTTTAACTCTTTATTGTGACAATCAAGTTGCCATCTTCTTTTCCAAGTATAATAGGATATCCAAAGGTGCCAAACACAGGACCTTAAATATCGCTAAAGCAAGATGTCAAGAGAGGAAAGTTTGTCATTGAACACATAGGCACTGATCTTATGGTTGCAGACATATTTACGAAAGCTTTGCCTCCAAAGACCTTTATAAAGCATGCTGAAAGTATGGGTCTTGAAGACAGCTCTTAATTATGTTGTCTGCTTTTATGTTTAGCCTATATTTGACATTTGTTTGAGATCTTTTTATGACTTTTACATCTTTTATTTATTCTGTTTCCATTGTGCACACATTATTGTTTTGGATTTATGATAACAGAATTTGTCTTTCATTAAGACATAAAGGGACCATTATGATAACTCCTACTTATGGTCTAGCTATGAAGGTAGTCAATGTAGTAGTACATGGAAGGGATCATGTTGCAGAATGATATGCGACCGCCATGACTCCCATTGATTACTAGATTAGTCAAGACACTTATGATGACCAAAGAAAAGGGTTTAGCATATTATGCCGGCCTTATGATTCCAATAAGAAAACATAAATGGATCTTTATAACGACCAAGTGGGAGACTGTAAGATAAGTTTATCTTCCTATTATATGGTCTTATATTAATCCGTTTTCCTATTGGGCTATTGCTATTTCATAACATATTTGGTATTTAATTAACTTAAATATAATGGAGTATTTCCTTTTTATCTCTACTTTGATGGACGGTTGAGATTAACTTTAAGGAAACCCTAAAGAGGAATTAGGTCCTCTCTCCACCTATAAATATATGCCTTTAGTCCATTGTAAAGGCATCCTAAAAGAGACACATAAAGTTCATAGGCAAGGGGAGAGAAACCTAATCACCTATCTCAGATTCAATACCTCCATCTCTTCTCTACAATGGTTAGAGTAAGTCATCTATAAACTCTTATGATTCTATTATGTGATTACTCTGGATGTTTGAAGGTCTTAGGGTTCATGTAAAAATATGCTTATATGTTTCTGCTCAATGAATCTATCATATCAGACTATGGAGAATCCCGATATCCGTAACTACTTCAAGATGAGCAACGAAATGACAGGGATTCTAATAAACCAAATAAACCCGCTTTCCGATGCACACAAATTTCTGAAGAAGAATGATATCATTCTTGCGATTGACGGTGTTCCGATAGGAAATGATAGTACAGGTAATATATAATACTACATATACATAAATCCTTTAACAAAAAAATAATAATACTACATATACATACATTTTCTCTCTCCATTTTCACGGTGTAACTGAATCTTTCCCATTTGTACACAGTTCCTTTTCGTAAGCAGGAACGAGTGACTTTCACACATTTGGTTTCTATGAAGAAACTATGTGAAACAGTCTTACTTAAAGTCTTAAGAGATGGAAAAGAGCATGAGTTCAATATCAGTGTAAAACCCGTAAGTGGACGGTCACTGACTTATTTCCCAAGTAAATATATGATTGGTACTCTTATATTTCTAGTTTATTGGCGGTTCACATTTTTCTAGAGACGATCATCTGAACAAATGTTATGGTTATCTATATTGTACGCATGCAGGTGCAACCACTAGTTCCAGTACATCAGTTTGACAAGTTTCGAAGTTATTATATATACGGTGGTTTTGTTTTTGTACCTCTATCTAAACCGTACATTGATCATTCTTGGATGTGCGAATGTGCTTCCGGAAAAATGGCCAAAAAAGCTGGTGAACAGATCGTAATAATTTCTCAGGTTTGTGCTTTTGATTTTAAGCATTCCTTTTTCACGTAATATTTTATACAGAAAGAAAAACACTTATCCATGTCCGAGTATTTTGAAATATTAATAGAAATAAGTAAATAAGTAACAATTTTAAGTTTGTTTCTTCGTACAGATCTTAGAGGATGACATTAATGCAGGATACTCCAGTTATGAAGATTTGCAGGTAATTTAATTTATTTCTATCTTACTCAAAGTTTTTTTTCTAATAACTCAGAATTTTTACACTCAAGCTTCTTTGAAAAGAGAAATTAAATCTTAGTTTCACAATCAAGAGTTACCAGAAGAGTATCTGAATAAAAAATTATCTACTTGACAATTGAAACAGGTGAAGAAAGTGAATGGAGTGGAAGTGGATAATCTGAAGCAATTATGTCAGCTCATAGAGGAATGCACCACCGGATATTTGATGATGGACTTGGAAAAAGAAAAGGTTATCGTCCTCAATAATAAATCTGCAAGAAAAGCCACTTCTCGGATCTTGAAAGATCTCAAAATAACGTCGGCCATGTCCGAGGATCTTCAGCCTAGAAAGCTTCAAAGTGGCCGCATAGTTCCCCGGCATAGCAAGAAAAAAAATTAGTTCCGCTCCCTGAGTCAGTTTCCGCTGCAGCTTAAGCCATAAATTGATTACGGCTAACTAAGAGTATCTCCAATGGACCCTTATTCCTTTATAATATAAGGGCTTTTGCATTCCAATGGACCCTTATCCCCTTATATTTTAAAGGGATGAATAGTGCACCCTTAAATATAAGGGGTTACTGTTCACCCCCTTAAAAATATTTTGATTTTGCATTTTAGTCCTTGTAATTATACAATCTTACAAATAACATTTATAATACTTTTTATGATCAGTTTAGTCTAAAATTATAATTTTTTTTTAACATTTACTCTCTCTAATAAGAAATTTAATTACCACCACATAAAATCAAATAAAAACATTCATTGATTGGAAAATTATGGAAACAATATTGTAATTTTAGTTTAATATTTTTATATATAATTTTATGTTTTAATGTAATTTTATATTATTATGTAATGTTTTAATTAATAATATTGTGTAATATTTTATTAAAGTGTTTTTATTGCATTTTATGAAAGTTTTAGTATTATAATTGATTCTAGTTACTTTTAAGGACTATAATGCAAAAATATTTTTTTTAAGGGGCAAGGATAAGGGTCTCCATTGGAACAAAACTTACAAACCCCTTATTTTAAAGGTGTGTCCCCTTTATTTTAAGGGTGACCATTGGAGATGCTCTAAAATATAATATCAGTTTTTTGATTTTATTTTATCTTTACTTTTCTAGTTTTCTTACGGATTCAAATGATTTATATTATATATTCAATCCATTAAGAGAGGATTTTATAACTGTTATTGTAGAGAAAGTGGTAAATTGCTCTGAGAAGCCAAATTTTGGATGTTACTCCTCAACTTAACTGAGTTCTGTTTAAATTAAAAACCAACCAAATTTTTTTTTTCTATCTTTGCACATTCTCCGTGAAACTGAGATTAAGAAGCCGTATGTTATAGTTATAGATATTACCAAGTTTGGGACATGATTAATCATTTTGAGGGGAGATTACTAAAAGATGTGTAAAATATGTTATAGTTATACAGTATGAAATCTATAAATTAATAATGTTGGGACTTTAATGTTTTATTATTTATAGAGTTATTAATATATAGATTTTGACTAAAAATTATTAAAAAAAAAAATCAATATTACTAATCTTTTAAATTTTCCTTCAAATTAAATAAGAACTTTCTTTTATATGTATATTTTCTTAACTTTTCTTTTTGATAGTTCTATATTTATTTTATTGTTTATATTTTTTCATACTTGGCATATTGTTTTAAATTTTTATTTTCTTTTAGTTTGCATATATGTTTGGTGTGTGAGATATTCATATTTTAGTAACTAGATATTTTAGATATATATATATATATATAAATTTTTATATAATAATTATTAATTTATAATATTATTGAGACTATTTGAGTTTTTAAAAAGTTATTATCTTATTATCTTATCTAATTGTGTCATATTTTATTCCGGTCTTGAAAACACCGGTTTAACTCAGGACAAAAAAAAATTATTAATTTATTGTGTTTATTAATGTATCGAATATTAATTTATAGAATTTCTACAGTATATAGTACCAAATTTGGGACATGATTAATATTTTGGGGGGAAGTGTATAACCGATGCTTTACTTCTTGACAATCAGTTTTGACATTAGTAAAGTGAATTCTCTCATTCCTTGTCTTGATTCTATTACTTTGTCATCAAACAAAAAACCGGTTTCAGTGAAAATATAGAATTCATTGTGTTCTCTTAATTGAGCGAAGTAGGTCTCGACTGATTCCCGAGAATCAACCGGTTGAGCTGATTAATCATTCCCACGGCTATTAAACAGGAAAAGAAGATTCAGATTACGGAAAGGCCAAATTAATATGTGTATGGACTATGTCCAAACTTTGGTTATTGCCAATAACTTAAACCAGTGTCAATTTTGTATTAAAAAAAATCGAAACAGTTGTTGGTCTAGGACACCTGGCCAATTCGTTGATCTGTCACGATGAACTGACACGTGTACCGCTGTTCTCTTCGCCTGCCACGATGATTAGTCTCTCATGCTTTCAAGTTCAAGATAGCTATATCGTCTTCTATCAATCATTCTCTTTGTATCAATCAGTTTCTATATTTATTTTATTATTTACATTTTTAAACATTTTTTCATTTTTGATTCTTGAATGGAGACACAGATCAAATCGAGAACAGATCCAGACCACTTCTAATGCAGAGCAATCTGTATTTTGACACCATTCACAATTAAAATGCAGAGGAAAAATAAATCCAGATCAAGTTAACTCCTCTGCATGCAGTTTAAATTAATAAAGTCTGCACATGATCACCACAAACCTCCCAAAAAGCACCGAAACATATCCAGATCTGTTTTTTTGTTTATATTTTTTTTAATTAATTCTAAAACTTAATTATAAATGCTGAGTTTCTGATGAATTATTTTTGTCCATATCTAAAACCTATATTCCAAAAATTTCGTTAGATTAAGGTATATTTATAATTTATAATTTCTTTATATTATGCTTTTTCAAATAGTTTTTCTTGTATTGATTATCTTTTAATAAATAATGAAATATCACTAAATAATATCAATATCAAATACTACAAATATAAAAATTCAAAATTAAAATGTATTTACTCTCATATTTGTTTAAGATAAAAATATTTATAATAGTATAATAAATTCATAATGTTATTTTTGTAAAATACTGTATATATCTATTATGAATACTTATATCCGACAAGACTAGGTGATATAGAAAAATAATATGAAAGAAAGATCTAATAACAAACACTAAAAAAATATTGGAGAAATAAAAATACTGTAGTTTTTTTCAATATACTGTACTTTAACTGAAACTAAATTTTAAATTCACTTATTATAATAAATATATGAATTGCATATTTTAGAAATTCAGAATTAATATACAATTTGTTTGTAATTACTCTTTCTATACAATTTGTTTGTAATTATTGTTTATGCATAATTAAAATACTTTGGGTCCTTGTTCGGGTTTGCATTGTGTTACTTTTTGTTCGGGTTACCTCGAGTTCACAAAAGCCTGTTCGAGTATTTATTTTATGGGTTGGGGTCAGGTTTGGGTAAACACACTTTTTTTTTTATTTCTTTGAAACTTTGTTAGCTTTAAAAAAAATTGATTTTGATATATAGGACTAAAGATTTTAAATATTCCGAAGTATTTGCAATTCTCGAGTTCGGTTCAGTTATTTATAGTGTAAATAAATATTGTAATCAAATTTAATTTGTAGATAATATTTTAATATCTTTATTGTCCCAATTATATTTTGTATATATAATTGTATTTGTTTATTTATTTTTTAAAATCATTGATTTGCATTATTTTTACTGTGTTTTGACAATTCAATTATATGATATTTTGTTATATTGATTTTTCATATGTAACATATGTTTGATATGTATTTGATCTGCATATAGATCATGATCTGTATTTATTCTGCGTGATCTGTATTTTTTGGACTGCATCACCATTTGGAGCATTAGTTACGTGTTTTTCATTTTGTTTTAGTTTGTGGTATTAATAGAGTTCATACCCTTTTTAGCATTTAATTACATGTATTTGACTCAAAACATTTCTGACAAATGGAACTTCACACGCATGAATATTATCACTGATTATTCCGATAAGTAGTATTATATCAAACTCGTGTCTAATCTCCTGTTCAAAAGTGATGAATAGTTTTTTTTTATAAATACAAGCGATGAATAAATTACTTTAGTTCAAGGTTTTGACTTTTGAGCTTTTTGGCTTTATCTTAATTTGTGTGGAAAACAAGTTAAGATATTTTGTCTTATTAAATATCATAACTCAAGAATCATCGCAGAAGAGAGACGACTTTCTCACATGTGCATCGGGTTTATATGTTGATAATTTGATATCAAATTGTTTATGTAACTGAATAGCATATAAACTATGTTTTCAAGGTATGTTGGAAGTTGACCATGGGCTTTAGTAGGTCTAAATTTAGTAAACATATAAACATGCATTATCGTCCGTCCAAATCCTTCACTACAATTATACTTTTCTCGTTTTCATTTTTGTATTTTATGCTATAAAATAAATGGAGATACGTAGGTACCATTTATTTGGCCGTTGAATTATAAGCATTTTCAATTGAAAATAAAAAATTGTAATTTGGATTCGTTTCCAAACGAGAATAACAACTGTTAGCAACTTCAAAACTCTTATATTCAACTCAATTGGTATGGCACAACTTTCTCTCATATTACCCTTCAATTAACCGAAGCTTACATCCACACGTTTATTATTATTTTTAGATCAGTCTTTTTCTTGAAAGTTTCTTGTTACGACATGAAGCCAAGCCATATAAGATCATGAAATAACTTTGCCAGCCGATTATTTTTGTAATTCTCATTAGCTTCTATCATTGTTTTAATGATAGATATCGATTGGCATGATAGACCAGTTACAATGATAGCTTTTGACCTTTTGGTATTGAGCCATTTGTTAGAACTTAGAAGTATGATTTATAGGAGTATATGTTAAGAAAGTTCTCGAGATATCCCTAGTCATCATAATTAGAAGATAATTACGGACGTTTCCAAACGACACATGGGTTTTAGATTGAATGTAACAAAATATAATACTACTATTATCGAAGAACTATCATCTTGAGTTCTTGACCCGTAATTAAGGCAATAGGGTACCGAAATCCATTATTGTTTGAAATGTGAAAGGTACTGAAAACTATACTTTGAATATAAATAATCAAATTTGAGATATTTGAACGAGAACTTAATATTATGAGCTGTAGCGTGTACACGTACGTATGATGAGTATAACCAAATTTAAGGTAACCTTACCGACTTATTACAAATGACCAGCCATAAATATATAAAAGTATATATACAACCAATCTTTCTTGATCTTGGTATTTCAAAAACTGTCAACTATTTATATTTAACAAAATGTGGGGAGTAATATGCCAAGTGGAAAAAGAAAACACTGATTCTTATCTCAATGAGACGACGTGTTTCTTTTTTAGGGAATATCCTAATTGATATAATAAAAAATTGGTTTTCTTTAGTTATGTTATGGTTAAGGAGTACTAGTTTAAGTTCGACTAGAAAGTTCCACAGAAACAATCTTCATCTAAACCTAAAAATTATGCACCGCAAGACAAAAACAAAATATATCTTGTTTCATAAACTAAAGGACAACGAGCAAATGATTCCACTTTTGATGTTCAAACAGTGTTTTCAGAACAACACACTGTAATTATTAATAAATAAATAAACAGAGTAGCGAATCGAATAAAAAACTCAGCAACAGAACAAAGAAATAAAAAACAACCACGAAAAAAACAAAGCTTAAGCGAACATAAAAACGGTAAAAGCAGCAGTTAATACTGTAGTCATAACCGAAGTAACGGCCACACCACTTGCTGCATTTCTGGGGCTTGGCGCCGGCGCCGTGATGGGATCGGAGCTCGGAGTTGAATCAGGAGACGGTGACTCTGGTGGAGTCTGATCAGGTGCCGGAGCATCCGGTGTCTGATCAGGAGAAGGCGAAGACTTTGGAGAGTTTGCCGGCGATGGAGAGTTTGGTGACTGAGATGGAGAAGAAGCAGGGGATGGAGAGTTTGGTGACTGAGATGGAGAAGAAGCAGGGGATGGAGATTTTGGTGACGGAGAAGGAGTCGCCGGAGACATTGGAGCATGCGACGGAGACAAAGTCGGTGAGTGAGCGACAGGAGACGGAGATTTAGGAGGCTGGGTTGGAGAAACAGAGGATTTCGGAGATTGGGCAGACGACGGAGCTTTGGCCGGAGCGATTGGGGAAACAGGGGGAGAAGCTTTGGGAGGCTGAACCGTCGACGGAGCTTTCGCCGGAGCTACTGGTGAAACAGGGGAAGGAGATTTCGGTGGTTGGGCCGTTGAAGGAGCCTTCGCCGGAGCTGTTGGTGAAACAGGGGAGGGAGACTTCGGTGGTTGGGCTGTGGACGGAGCTTTCGCCGGAGAAATAGGTCCCGTCGGGTTATTTCTGACGGCGAGGACAACGACGATCAACTTCTGACCTTTAATACAGTGATCTTGATTCCCACTGATGAAGTAAAACGGACCAGACCGATTCAGAGTAACCAAAGCCTCTCCATTGTCAAAGTTCTGAAGCGGATTCCTAATGTTGCAGCCGTCGAAATCTGCTTTCATCACTCGTTGGACAGAGTCCGATCCTCTCGCGTACTTGAAATCTGCAAAAGGTTCAAGCTTTCTTCTTGTCAGGATCAAATCGGTAAAATAAAAATTCAAACTTTAGAGAAAAAGAAAGAAACTTTACAGAGAGTGTCATTGACTTGGAAACGGTTTCTTTCAGCCCAAGTATTGTAGCTCTCCGGTGGATTCACGGCCCAAACGCCGCTACCTCCGACGTTAAATCTCCGTGCGTCAGCGACGGAGAAGAGGGTTGCGAAAGAAGCGAGGACGATGAAAGAAAAACAGAGACTTTTCATGATCGACACCATGGTTTAGAGAAGCGGCGAGATCTGAGGGATGGTTAGGGTTTTGTGTGATTTGTGGGAGAAATGAGTAGAATATATAGAATCTGAATTTTTACAGAAATGGAAAACGAAAATTCGTGTGAGAGAGAGCTTTACTTTCTTTCTCTTTATGAAGGGAATGTTTTTGGTAAGGTATAATAAGAGATTTTGAACGTTGTGAACGAATATCAAAGACATTTATGTTAAGACGTGTGAGAATTTACTTACGTATTGACTCACTTACCATAAACAAAATGACTGAATGGTGGACTTCTTTCCCAACTTAATTACTATTTTGATTTAAGATTTGAATTAGTGGCTGATTTTTTGTAAGAAAATGGGTTGGTTTTTTCCATATTTGTTTCGATTTCATATCTCTTTCCATTTCAGTTTAAAGATTATACACACTTTCAGTTTCAGTAGTGATAGGTTTGATGGCTACACCTACTGACCTACACAGTACACACACACTCCGATTAGGTTTCATTGTTTCAAATTTTCAATGTAATAATTTTGAAAAACTGAGCCGTGAAGGTTAGTTACAACGTAGAAGAATGCCAATTGGACTATATTCAGAAGACAATAATATCTTGATTAACTTTATCTATCAAAAAAAAAAAAAAAAGATCTTGATTATCTTGGAAACATGAGTCATGTGTTACGTAAAAAAAGTTCAAAAATGCTTTTTGAAAAGCTATGGTGTGTTGGAAGCCCATGTTTAAGTTTGACAGAATAGGCCCATTAGCTTTATTAGGGGAGTAGGGACTGGGCCGTCAATTATTTCCTCAACTGGTTGAAATGAAACTCGAATCATACCAAACAAACTTTACTAGTAGCTGTATATGTTTTTAAAAAAACATGTTAAAGATGTGTTAATTTTGGCCTATATTACATTTTTAACCATATATAGTTTACTCCATCAATTCACTCTAAAAATATCCCTAATATATTAAAAGAGAAAACACTAACTAAATAACCTTTGTCCATTGTGTTATTAACAAGAGTGCCACTGCTGATGTGTCATCACTAGGTTCACTCTCAGCCCAATTTCTAATTAAGACAAGTTTTACTAGAGAAATTACAAATTGTGCCATTGCATATTATGCTTACCATCCATTTATTATTATATTATTTCCTTAATTGACAATTACGAAAATAAGTAAATAAGGAAGATATGAAATTCAATTGAATTCTATCATAATAATTTTTTTAAAATCATTATATATCCCCTATCATCTTTGTTCAACTTTATTTTATAAAATAATATGAATCACAATATAAAAAACTAATAAAGAAAATCTAAAGCTTTTTCTGTATATGCTATGATTTGAATTTTTAAAAACAAAATAATCAAGTTGTTTAGTATATAATCTCATTTAGTGTAACCTAGGTATTTAAAAGTAAATTATTATTTTTATTTTATTTAATATGGTTTTTAATTAAATTCTATAATAAAATTGAATAAAAAAATTCTTTATAAATTTTTACTTTGATTAAAAATTTGAATATTATTCCATCTGTTTCAACCTTCAATATAAAGTTAATTGTATTTTTGTTGTTTTAACAATTTAGATCATACATATTTTTTCTTATTGGTTGAATTGTTTTGAAATTATAATAAAACATGTTTTAGTTTTGAAAGAAAGAGAAAAAATAGTTCTAATCCATGTCTTAGTTTTGAAAGAAAGAAAAAAAAATTGATTTTAATCCGTGTTTTAGTTTTAAAAGAAAAAAAAATAGTTCTAATCTGTGTGCACACAGCTAAGACTTCTTATTTTATAAAATACAGTATAAATTTTTGTAAAGAATAATGTTTTATTTTCACTTTTTTTTCTTTAAACTAACTTATTATACTGTAGTCATTTGAATTTCATATATCTCGCTTAAATCTATCATATTTAATATATGATTATGTTCAAGACTTTAATCTATTTACCTTTTTAAAAAATAATTTAAAATGCTTAATTTTCATATTATAAACGAATAAACGAAGGCAATAATCTAACAAAGATTAAAAATCCGTCGCATAAAATTTTGAGATATTTAAATAAACATTTTTTAATAAATTACCAAAAAACATTTTGAGAAATTTTATGAAATACACCTCTTGAGGTGCAAATTTTCAAAACTACACCTATAGTGTGGAAATTTTCAAAAATACACATTTTCCCAATTTTAATATATATGTTTGGGTTCACTAATCCTATATTAGGGTTTAGATTTTGGGGTTTAGGGTTTAGATTTAAGGGTTCAATGTTAGATTTTAGGGTTTTGGATTTATATTTTAGGGTTTAGAGTTTTTTTACTAAATGAAAAAAGTGTAGTTTTGAAAATTGGCACCATAGAGGTGTATTTTTGAAAATTTGCACCTCAAGAGGTATAGTTTTGAAATTTCTCCCAAACATCTTTTAATAAAAATACAAATTCGGAAACCATCACCCCGTGCTGGGCGCGGGTCAATCCCTAGTTTTGAAAGTAAAACTTAAATTTTTGTACTTTGTTGGAGTTTACAACATTGCGACTTTCTTTTTGATAAATTATTTCTTAATAGTTTTGGTAAATGGTAAAGAAGGTAAACACACAATCACTCCTTTAACACGTAAATAAACATCTATTTAACCACGTGGAGTGATTGAACAAAAAAAGATAGGAGACAAATTTGGCGAAGTAGGCCATGAGGCAGTTCGAGTTTTACTTAGCTGGGAGGTGAACATCATTGAGGGCAAAGGGATAGTAGAAGAATAATGTTGGTGATTAAAAAAAAGTATGGTAAGCAATTGTTATACTAGAAAAAAACATCATTTTCGGTGATAAGGTAATTGATATACTAACAAAATATAAAAATTGGAATCTTTCTGTATACTAAGGAAACAAAACAACAAGCATTGCTTTTCAGCACATAATTGTTATATTGTAAATTAGCAAATCAAAGTGAACCAAAAATTAAAAGAAGAGAAACAACGATCTAAAGACTTTAAAAAAAAAAACTAAATCTTAAAATGTAGCAATGAAGAAAAATTATTAGAGTCATATTTTTTTTTTTATCGCTTTAACAAAAAAATATTTTTTTTATCGATATTCTTGTTTACTACCAATAAAGTGAATTATAGCACTGACCAAAACGAGGTAGATTCAGTTTTGATTCGAATCAGTACGTTGTTAGAACAAAAAGAATCAAATCCAAAACTAAAACTAGGAATTACAGCTATAATACGAATCACATAAACGCAAATCTGTAGATTCTGACCATCCGTGGGATTTTATAGATATTAAAGGACAATTACGTAGACACATTAATCATAATCTTTCACGTATTCAGAAGACAACATTCAAACAATGATATAATAAGAGATTAAACCTTATTGGAAAAAAAGGTTACTAAACCCTTGAAATTACAAGTCACTTAAGCATTCATCATCATAATATCGCATAGAAATTAAGAATAAAATGGGATGATTAGTTACATTTTCTTAAAAGTAGATCTTTCACTCGGTCTTCTCAGCTTTGGTTTCTTTGTTCTCCTCTTTCTTCTCTTCTTTCTTCTCCTCTTTCTTCTCCGGTTTCTTCTCCTCTTTCTTCTTCTCTTCCTTTGGTTTTGAATCTACTACAGCTTTTGGTTTGCCCTGCTTTGGTTTCATGAAGCAGAAGCAAGAACAGCATGGACACTGGAACAAGAACTTCATTTCTCTCTCTTTCTCTCTCTCACTTATCTTGTCCTTCTCTCTCACAATCTCACTCACACATTGTACATTGCTTGCTAAAAACTAAGCTTTAATGAAAGTAGAGAATTGATTGGGTTACTTTGTTACTGTGCTTTTTTTTGACATTTCTCTAACAATCCTGTCTTTTTCTTCTCGTCTAATAATGATGCTTTCATTGGTCCCACTCCATTAAATTTTAGTATCCTTCTCCAACCAATTCTCTTTTTATTTTCAATCAATTTTTCTTTCAAAAACCGCATATAAACAGAGATACACGAGCTTTAGCTCAGCTGGAGTGATAGTGTCATGACGGTGGCCAATTTCGTTTAGAATTTAGTGACAATAACTGAATAACTCTTTACGAGTTTTTCACGTATTCACACGATCGTTTAAGTTATAGTTTGAGTAACCATTTATAGGACCAATCTCTTATTGATTAAATTACAGCAAGTGTTTTCCCACATGACACTGCATTACACATTGTCATACTTTAACAAGAATGAAAATGTGTAATGCAATGTCATGTGGGAAAAAATAGTATGTTATTTTTTTGTATATTCACTTTTCATTTTTCTTATATTCATGCACATGCATAATAATTATTTCTTATGAAGTTTATGAAGTTTTTAGAATGATTATGAAGTTTTGAAGAAGTTGTGTAGAAGAAACTAGAAAGTATTAATTATTAAAAATAAAATTAAAAGGTCATGTAATATTTTGGATCTTTATGTGTACAGTGTACTATATCATATAGTTGGATTCCACTTCAGTCTCTTTCAAACCAAGTGGATGGCCGCCCTACTCTGATTTATATATTTTTGTGGGTCCTTTGCCAAGGATTTCCCTTGGTATAAGTACGAAGTTCTACGAATCAATTATTTAATTGCAATAAGTTATAAGAAACATATAAAAATATACTCAAATTGCATTTTATATTGGAAAAAAAGAAGAAGACAAATTGCATTTTCTACACTTCTATGGGCTGGGCTTATAGCATGAGCCCAAGTCATGTTATTTTCATATGTTCATCCTGGATAGACCCCCATCGTTTGCATGACAAATGATAAACAGCCATCCAATTACCCATCTAACACAGAATTGTAGCACGTTCTTTTAAGATGATGATTCTTATTGATTCTAGGACGACAATAAACTTTATTTTGTCAACGAATTGAATTATCATATCATGTTAAGTTTATGAACTTTTAAGTAAAAAACCAACTTACAATTAGTAGACTAACTTGTGTCTTTTATATATTGTTTTGTTTTCCTATCTTTTTTTTT